TCAAAAAATAAATGTGGACAATTATCGTGGACCAGCTGGACTCACAGCAGGTTTCTTTTAAGGATCATTGGTTAACCATCAAATACGGGGTGGTAAGCTTTATACAACCCTTTATGGAAATGCTGAATTGGATCCTCTGTTAAATCGAACTTATATCTGCTTGATCCCAAAAATTTAAAATCATACGGAAGTTAAAGATTATCAACCTATCAGCCTTAGTAATGTAGCATATAAGCTTTTATCTAAGTCATGGCTGAGCGTTTGAAACCACTTTTGCATAGTATTATATTTGAAAATCAAACTGCTTTTATACCAGGAAGGTTAATTACGGACAATGTCCTTATTTCTCATGAGCTAATACATTCTATGCATACTCGTAAAAGATAATCTCCTTCTATGGCATTAAAATTAGACATCACTAAGGCGTTTGATATGATTGAGTGGTCCTTCATAGAGAAAATCATGAAAAAGTTGGGTTTTGCTGATATATGGTGCACTTGGATTATGAAGTGTATAATTTTAGTCACTTATTATGTGTTGGTAGATGGAAATCCATCTGAGCTTATAACTCCATCTGGCATTAGACAAATATATCCTATCTCCCCTTATCTTTACTTACTCTGTAATTGAAGGACAATCACATCTCAGTAATCAAGCTGCTTCCAATGGTCTTATTACAAGCTTTAAAGCAAGCAAAGGAGGACCAGCGATTACACATATGCTATTTGCAGATGATTCTCTTAATTCTGTAAAACCACAACACAGGAATGTGATAGTTTACTTGGTACTCTTAAAACATATGAACATGCATTAGGGCAACTATTAAACTTTCAGAAGTTAGCGATAATGTTCACTACATATATTTTTCCTTCACTTAAAGATTATCTTCTTAAAGTTACAAATATGCAGAAAGTGGGAGGTTTTGGACAATACTTAGGTCTTCCTGAATATATTGGGCATAATAAGAATGATACTTTCTCTTATCTAGTTCAGTGAGATAACAAAACGATGGAAAATTGGTAATCAAAATTAGAATCTGCTAACACCGTATTTTTACCTATTTTCAATAAGTATTTTTATGCTATTTCAAAAGTTTTTTAAGTATTTTTATAATAGTTTTTTCTATATTTATAGCTTCAAAACTCTTTCCAGGTTAATTAAAACAATGTCAATTGGAGAAAAACCATTTTTGGCCTATTTCAGACCGTTAGAAATCTCATATCCGATGAAGACCTTCTCACAATCTAATCAAGGCCACATTTGGAGAGAACATAAATGAGAGAACCAAAATTCTAATTAAATTGCATTGGATTCAATCTTAATGGTTAGATCTCCAGATATATCCAATTTACTGAAAGCATGGTTTGTAGTCTCGCGAAAGAAGCAAGAGAAGAATTGAAGATTTGACATCATAGGCCAACCACAATGGTTCAAAGGGTCGTGCCCGCGATAAACACCTTCTTGGCCGCATACCCAAGCCTGCACCCACGTGGAACCATGTTTTACCAGTCACGGAGAGTCTTCATCCGTGGCAAGCCCAATCTCGGCTCTAAGGCCCATTTTCAAGCCCAACTCATTCTTTCTTCAAAAAAGCCCTAAGTATGTGTGTTTTAGAAGACTTAATTTCGTGTGTGCTCCTGTAATGAGTTTTTGAGCCTCCAAACTTTTGTTTCTTAGGTTTAGGTTAGGGTGATAGGAATTCCTCCCTTGAATCTTTTGTTAATTTTTTTTATCTATATATTTCAGTTTATGCATCTATCTATTATGTTTTTATTTTCTTGCATCATGTTAGAGTAGTTTAGTAATTGGGTTTAAAGGATCCATCAATGGGGATTAATATGTTTGATTATGATTGTTATTTTCTTAGCCATATTCTAGATCTTATATTTTCTAAGTTGTATTTAATGCATGAGTTTAGAGTCATGAACTAATATCTGAACCTAGGTTTAATCAGAGCCACGACAGTGATGTATCAGATTTCCATGCATAGCTTCAGAAGAACATAATCATTGTAGGAGACGAAAGCTACCTACAGAGAAGATGTGAGCAAGAATGAATTCAATTTAGTTAATGCATGATCTCACTCGCGGCCAGAGACGAAAACTACTGGTCGAGTTTGATTTTTTATTTGGTTAGAGTGACGACAGTTGGCTAGCCATGTCAGTATCTATTTTAGTTCCATGCAGATACTTAGAAATTAATAAAGACATATGATAACACATGATTTTGACCATATTTGTGGATCACTTTCAGTATCTTATGCAGGTATTTTCAAACAGTTTTAAAGTTTTTATAAGTGTTTTCAATGTTTTAGAGTTTTAAAAGACTTTTCAGGTTACTAAGGCAAAAACAATACAAATTGGAAAAAAATCCACTTCTGGCTAATTTCGGACCGTCATAAGTTTCACATCCTATGAAGACCTTCTTACCGTCCGATCAAACTTATATTTGGACAAACGATAGAGGAGACAACCATCTTTCTAATGAAATTGGATTGGACGCAATCCGACAGTTGGATCATAAGTTATTACCAATTTACTGAAGACATGTTCTGCAGTCTCGCGAAAGAAGCAAGAGAAGGAATGAAGTTTGGACATCATAAGCCAAACACCGCGGTCCAAGAGCTCGTGACCGCGGAGAATACTATCCTGGCCATGCCTCAGAGCCTCCACCCGCGGTGAACCCACATTTGCCAGCCATGAAGAGCCTTCATTCTGCGACAAGCCCATTTTCGGTCCAATGGCCCTTTTTCAAGCCCAACTCATTCTCTCTTCAAAGAAAACCCTAAATACAACCAGAAAGACTTGGAGACCTATGAATATTTATTTTAGAAGACCTAATTCATGTGTGCTCTTTTCCCCTTGTTAGGGAGGCACCCAACTTTTGTTTCTTAGGTTTATGTTAGGGAGATATAGATTCTTCTCTTGAACCCTTGTTGCTTCTTTTCATCTATCTATTAAGTTTATGATTATGTTTTCTTCAATCATGTCAGAGTAATTTAGTTGTTGGGTTTAAGGGATCCATCGAAGGGGGTTCCATGTTCGATAGGATTGTTGTTGTTTTCTTAGCCATATTCTAGATCTCATCTCTTCTAAATTGTTCATAATGCATGTAGTTAAACACGCGATCTAACTACTGAACCTAGGAACCAGAGCCACAAGAGTTTTGTATCAGATTGCCAAAACATAGCTTCAGAAGAACGCAATCGCTATAGGAGTCGAAAGCTACCTATAGAAAAGATGTGAGTAAACGAATTCAGTTGTTATTGCATGATCTTATTCGTGGCATGAGAGCGAGAGTTAATTGCCGAGTTTAAGTGATTAATTGGTTAAGGTGACGAGAGTTGGTTAGCCATACACGTGCCTATTCTAGTTCCATGCAGATCCAAGAAATAGATAAGGATAAATCCACCAGAGACTGGTTGAAAATGTTTAGACATCGATTAGGGTAAACCCGAGAAGTCCAAGTCGACCCCTATGAGCTTTAGAACCCTAGCATGAATCGAATATCCCCTAAGATAACCCTGTCAGCCCAACATTTGTTTTAGTGGAGTCTTAGTCTTGTTTTATTTTGCGTTTTCAGTGACACACAAACCCCACAAAAACCCCATTGGTCTTTGCCTTCGATTACTAATCCAGTTTGAAGTTTTTTTCAGGAAAGACAACTATCCTTGTGGATCGACACTCTAAGTACTACAATGCACGACACCAACCCTAGCTCGCATCAACATACTACTTGTAGGCTAATTAGAAGATACTTAGATATCGATTAGGACATTCAAGAGTAGTCTAAATCGCCCTATATAAGCTTTAGAACCCTAGCATGAATCGAGCATCCTTTGAGATATCTTTGCCAGTCCAATTATTCTTTTAGTTTTAAGATTATATCGATTACGTCTAGCAAGTTTCTTTATTTTAGTTTACTTTTTCTTTTTCATGACACCAAAAAACCTATAAAAATCTCATGAGTTTATTAATTCGTTTACTAATCTTAATTTGAAGTTTTTTTATATTAGATAACCTCCCTCTGGATCGATACCATAAGTATTACTCCGCACAGTTGTACACTTGTAGGAAACTAAAGTTTATAAATTTAAAACTTGATCTGTGATCCCTTAACCCTAGCAGCATCACTTTCTTCTGCTGGGAAAGAGGTTTTACTGAAATCTGTTATTACAGCCTTGTCTATTTATTCTATGAGTTGTTTTGTGCTTCTTAAGAAGATTCTTAGGCAAATGGAGACAACTATGAGGAAATTCTTTTGGACTACTCAGCAGGATAAAAGCCATAGGAACTGGTTTGCGTGGGACAAGATCATGGATCCGAAAAATCAAGGAGGATTAGCTATTCACGATCTTAAAGCTTTGGCAGGAAGCGGTTGAGTGCAACAAGAATGATCTGATCATGGATCGAAACAATCAGAATCATTCTGTGCACAGCACATGACGACAAACCATTCAAGAATAGCGACAATTATGTCGCTTCACAGATGCTTCCTAGATCTCCAAGGCACAAGCAGTTGGACGACCCTTGAGGGATCAGGTGCTATTCCACCAATCCAATCACCGCAAGAAGCAGAAGCTGAGGCTCTACGCATTGCAGTCACTGATCTGGGAAGACTTTGGTTATTGGAATGTCAAGTTCTGCGGGGATTCAAATGCTATATATGGCCCTCTTCAGAATGGCCAAGTTTTAGTGGAACCAAAGGAAATGAGACATCATCACTATGCAATGGCTTTACATGATATACGAAGGGTAGCAAATGGAAATGGTATCACTTTAAAAAAGATTAGACGCTATGTTAATATTGTAGACCGGTTGGCAAAACAGGCTAGATGTTCTTAACAAAATCATGTAATCAATTCAAATGGTCTATGTAATTGTTTTACAGTGGAATCGAATACATTGACAAAAAAAGGCTTCTCTCTTCATCATGTCAATCTAACGGTGAATATTTGAGCCTGGAATAGGTAATCCAACGGCTAAAACTCACTGTTTAATACAAGTGTAGCGTTAACATCAATCCGCCATGCAAAGCCACCATCGTTCATTGTTAAACGTCAAAAAGGCAAAGTAATCAAACTCAATCCATAGGCGAAGAATAAATGGATTCTCTCCTTGAAGCTGTCCTCGAACTTCATCTACTTGACTACCATCAGATTGTCGATTCTTCAAATCTTGGACATGATTGAGTATTTGAGTGCCGAAATTATCAAAAGTTTTTTCTACGAATAATTAAATGTGAGTGAAAAGACAATTCAATCTCACTCCCACCATAATTTTTTTCAGGTTTAATACGATTGAGATAATCTCAATTCTAGAACTTATTTTACCATTAATTTATGCATGAATTAAAAACATTTTTTGGTCTAAATGTTAAAAATTTATAACCATTTTCTGAATTCTGAGTTTACAATATTGATAAACAACTTATTCTTTCCAACCTTACTCACCATTCACCAAAAAGAAATAAAAGACACCTCTAAATGGAGTACCAACTAATTTGTACAAACAGACATGAAAAAAGAAAAGAAAAAAAAACCTCCAAAAAACAGAAAATAAAATCAAAATGTAAAGCTAACAAAACTTGCAAATATGTACACTCCAAAGTTCTAAGTGAAGATCAAAGATCTCGAACTGCATGGCTCAAGGTGAGTAAGCCTTTTCTCCTCATCAAGTCAATCTAACGGTAGCTATTCGATCCCGGGTTACATCTAACGGCCAAAATCTCACCGTCCAAGACAGAGTGCAGCGTTAACATCAAGCCGCCACGCAAAGCCACCGTCATTCATCCTCCAAACATCACACGGCGAAGTAATCGAACTCACTTCATTATTACGACACCTGTACTGCAGTCTCATTCTACATGTGAACGTCCGTTGCGTTAGCAAAGGCTTCTCCTTCATCACAAGCCACACACTCATCTTACTACAACACTTTTCGTCTTTCCCAATCACCAATTCTCTAAACGAACCATTCGTCCAAATGACTCTCCCTGAACCGTCCGATATAAAACCAGGACACGTGTCTCTCTCCAGATTCATCTTCCTCTCCTCGTCCGTACACGCTAACTCATACTCTCCCTCCGTTACGCATTCCACCGTCAACAACGATGACACAACAGTTTCCGTTTTCGCCGTCATCAGATCTGAATTTTTCATCGCCGTCTGATAACGTCCGTTATCTCCGAAACTCAGCCACAGCGAAGCCGCCGGGTCTATCTCCGGCACCGATGCCAAAGCCCTAGACGATTTCTTCCTCTCTGGAGTCTCTGGAAGAAGAGCTAGCGTCACAATCTCAGATTCGTTTCTCCGTCGATTACACCATTTGCTGTTGCCGTTACTGTTAACAGATCCGTCGCTGCTGGTACTGTTCTCTTTTGAGTATTTTCTCTTACCACCTCTACGTGATTTCGATGAAACAGATTCCACCGGCGGCGAAGAAGATCCACCGGAATCTGGTCTCGGAGCAATCGGACGATACCGGAGCATAATCCGATCCACTTTCGTCATATCATATCCACCACCACCACCGTATCTCGCAATACAGCAACCTCCCCAAGAATTCATATTTAACTCTTAAGTTCTCTTCTGCAAATTTTGCTTTGCTTAACAAACGGAGAAGATGAATGTTAACGAAGCGTGACGGTAAGAATATAAAGAAGAAACTGTTACGTCGACACGTTTGGGAGAACCCACCACGTGCGAGACCAGACGGTGAACAGCTCAACGTTGTGATTGGACGAAAGAAGAGAGACGTGGCGTTTTGCGGTTGAAATTTTGGGTCCCACTGTGAGACTCATGGTACGAGGGGCGTTTCGACCAATTGCAGAGCGAGGAGTTGCTATATTGTGCGGTGCGTTTAAAGTTAAGAGACACATAAGAGCAACCTCAATGGGAGAGACCATGGAGGTCTTCAGATCATTATTAAATTAGTTTCTGAGCAAAAAATGAGATTAAAAACTTATTCTAGAAACTTTGGTGTTATAGGTGTGCAATGGAGAGACCCACATGGATTTTCAAAAAAAACAAAAAATCGATTGAGGTAGAAAACAAACAAAACTATCTCTCTATTTTTTAACGAATGCAATCAAACCACGTGTCGGAAGAAACCAGTGAAAACGTCTTATGAGACGTCTCGACCAAATAAGAGACGCTGCATGATTTAAAAATTAATAAGTCTCTGCTAAAAATGATCTGAAGACCGCGTTAAAGATGCTCTAAGGCTGCGACTTTCAAGTGTACGTGTTAACCTAACGCGAATGTTGTGATTCGAGGTGATGAGACACATGGCCCAATCTGGTTTGCTCATTTGTACGTTCGAAAATTTTGAGATATTTTATTTTTATTTGTTTTTAATGTTTGTGTTCTATTATTAGAATGTAGAATTGGGAAGATTGTGCCACGTGGAGGGGGAGGTGGTGACACGAATCTCCTTTGGATGTGGCGGTTTCCAAAAATAAGGATACTTTTAGCATGCCTATAATTGGTGTAAGAGAAATAATTTACTATAATTTCAGACATTGAAATATCAGACGAATCTTCAATTTCCGGACTGTCACAAAAAATAAACCGCTGGATACTTTATCTTATTATTTCAGATATTTGGTGGAATAGAATATGGAGTTCTAGGAATTAGAGATTTTAAAGTTTGTAACATTGCTTTAAGCAAAATAAAGCTTGAGAACTCTTCAAAATCCAAATTTATCTGTGATAAAAAATTTATAAGACAAAGTATTTTCAAAATCAAATCTATTGAGAGCAAAAATTAAATAGAGATTCAGTCATGCTTGAAGAAGCATCTTAGATGGTAATGAATTTGGATATATATTAAATTTAAAGAACTTTGAAAGGGATTTGAGATTTGAGTAAATTTTCCAAAATGATGATGGTCACAAATTTTAAAATAACTGAAAAAAATTTCAAAATATTTGAAAACTTTAAAAAACTGAAATTTAAAATTTAATTAAAAAAATTACATAGAATAACTATATCAACACTCTTATTTGCAGATATGATCATTCATTATTTTAGATATTGTTTATTTTTTATTTTTAATCTCGAAGGATCCATACTAACGTATAACTCTACCTATACACATTAACACATGCATATTATTTCTTTTTCTCTTTCTCTATTTCTCCCTCCTCTCGCCTTTCTCTCTCTATTTTTTATGTCTCTTTTTTAATTTCTTCACCTTTATTTTCGAAATCGTCTTCTCGAAAACAATTTTTTTTCAATAATATCAAAAGCCATCAACTGATCTGCCTATGAAAAAACCAGATCTGAATTCTATAGTATATGACCAAAGTTGGTGAAAATTCTAACTCCGATCTGAACTCTCTATCAAAAATTAACATTAGTTTGTTTCACACATGTGTAGTTACTTGTATAGTTATCCTGACTTCTCCATCGTTGATCAAAGTTTTTTTCTTGCTTTCTTTGTGAGGAAAACCGTCTCTGTATTCAAAATGCTAGAGCAACCGATGATCCTATTAGATTGATGCTAAAAAAAAACCCTCAACTCATAATTTTCAGCCAAAAATACCACCAACTGCTCGATAGATAAAATAAATCTTCAATTTTCGTTGAGTAATCCTCTTAATCCTCAACTTTTTTTGACCAAAACATTTTAATCTCCCACGTTAGTCAATAGTTATAGTTGACTAACAATATGACTATAATGGCTCGTTCAATAAAAGTTGGACATTTTTTCAAAATAAAATATTGAAATTTTTTTACCAAAAAATTAACTTTTTTTAAATAGATTGAAATAGTGAAAATAATATATCAAAGCTCAAAAAATTATAGATTCATTTTTTCATTGAAAAATTATAGATTCATTTTTTCATTGAAAAGTTATATATCACAATAATAGTTAATCAAAAATTCATTTTAAATGAAATTCTTAAATTAAAAAACAATTTTTTAAAATTTTTAAATATTTAATAATAAAATCAAAAAGTACGAAAAATAACATGAATATAATAAATTATTTATCGGTAAAATCGTGAAAACAAATTCATATTTTAATGTAAATAGCTATAAAATTTAGTAACATTTGCATTATATTATAAAATAATTAATAAATAATACAAATTTTAGTAGTTATTTTCAAAATAATTGTGAATAAAAATTTATATTTTGATTACCTTATTAGAAATTGAATTTATTTTAAAATTTTTAATTTCATTTTATGCTATGTTCAAAATATTTTAGGTGATAAATAAAACAGGGGTTTTATTTTTCAAACCAGTAACTAATGAAATATATTTTCTAATTTTGAAATTTACCATATTATTTTCTAGTACATTAATCTAAAATTTGTAAAAAATAATTTTTTTGGTCAAAAACCAAAAAATCTCTAATTTTTTATTTACCAAAATAATTTTAAACTTTTTATTCATTAAAAAACCTCAACATTTTATTTATTAAGGCATTTTAGTCATATCGAACGTTGGGTCTAAACAGCTTGGTATAAACGGATTATTCAACGAAAGTTAAAAGTTTATTTTGTCCACCGAGTATTTGGTAGTCTTTTTGGCTGAATATTGTGAGTTGAGTGTTTTTTGGCTTTTTCCCCTATCTAATAATGTGTATCTCTGAATTACTCATATAAATTTATTATCAGACTGCTAACATATCTAATAGAATGTTATATTTCTTTGTAGCACACTAACTAAAAAAAAGAACACCTTTAACAATCTATATAATTTATTATTGTTATCAATCTAACATATTTTTTACCTAATAAATTATAATGTAAGACGTAAATTTATATCTAACATTCTAAGTATATCAATTACATCTTTACCCATCTATATAATTCATTAATGTTATCAATTTAACATTATCTTTATCGTACAAAACATAATGTTATATGTAAATTTATATGTTTATATATGATATAGTAATTATTATTTTATAATAAAATATGTAATTTGTTATTATAATGTATATAAAAGTTATATTTGGAATATAAGCTCAATTGTCAAAGCAATCTTTTCCATATCCTAACATTTAATGCTTCTCTGGACAGGGAACATTTATGTGGCTGATATCATCTGCCACTAGATTTTTGTGTTATTTTTTCTACTTTATCTAAACCTAAGCCACCTTACACAGTCAGTTAAAGCATGCCGATGTGGCAGAGAATTTTGAAGGGACAAGTCGGTATTTGCTGATAACCTCATTAATAGTGCCGATAGTTTTTTATGTGTTTTTGGTTACTTCTGAAAATTCACCTCAGATTTTGATTATTCAACAATTTACTCTTTAATTAATACACATTACTCAGATCATGTAAAGAAAATAAAAGTGTAACTCAAATTTATAGAGAATCGTATACAAAACAACAAACAAAATCATACAAACCATGCATATCAGTTTTTTCATGTGGATATATTCAAGCAATTCCAAGTCATATATTTAATTGGTGAAATCTCAATTTTACAGCAAGGCGAAAATATTAAAAATTTGTATAAATGACTAATCTAATAACTTTAAATTTTAAATAATTTTTACAAATACTATATCCAATAAGAGGATTTTGGAAATAAAATTTTAGCCCAAATTTTTAATCTAATATGCTCTTCTTATTCTCTAAGGGGTGAAGTGGATTGTAGAAAATGGTAATCATATTCAACTATGAAAGATAACTAGTTCCACACGTTTCATCCTAAACCCATCTGAGAGAACTAAATATTATGTTGATCCAGAATTAAGAGTCAAGTTTTTAAAGATTCTAGAAACCAACTTATGGTTTGAAACAGAGATTTTTTTTTTGCAGATGGTAGGATAATGTGCCTATAGTTGAGCTTCTTAAACCCGCAATAGCAGGTACACTAATATATATCTCATGATTCATGAATATACGTTAGGGATAGCAACTATTTTGTGAAATATGGATAGTACGCTTACTAAGAAGAAATCAAAATCATATGCAAATACTCAGCTCTAATCTTTGTATAATTCCATTTGGAGGGTAACTGCACCACCAAAAATCAAGCATTTCGAGTGGAGAATGTGGGAAGTCTGGTTAATCTCAATGGAAAATCTTAGGAGAATAAATTCTCTTTCCTTTTAAGGATGGAGAATATGGAAAGCAAAGAATGACCTTCTCTTTAATAATATGAGATAGTTAATCCATGATTTCAACAATCTCTCATAGACTATAGATTATGGATAGATTATGAGCACAAATGAATTTCATAAAAGGAAAATTAGCTTAAACTATTTGTGATGCAATTTCAAAAGCTAAAGTTTGTGTTTATGGTAGAAGTCTCAAGGATAACGTCATATAAACTAAGACCACCTCCAATGGTGAAAATTTCAAAAGGTGGTTCTTAAAATTAAAATATTAATATTTTATTATAATTTAATTACTTGATTTAATTTTTGTCTTAATTAAAAGAATAAACCAATAAATAGTGGACATGTGTAGGACTCCATGAGAAAGGGGTTCTGATATAAGAACTTTTAGAACCTCTCTTATAATCTCTCTCTTACTTTTTCATTTTTTTTATTTAATCTATTGTTAAAAACTTCTTCTTCATCCTACCATTGGAGGTACTCTAACATGCATTGGATGTTCCCTACAGAGTCGGTCCTGATAATTTCAGACTCATAAGAAAATGATTTTTTTTGGCCCAATAAATATTAGTTTAAAAAATAAACATACAATATAAAATTTCAGCCATAATATTCGAACCTAGCACATTGGATACTATAGATTCGATACATACCAACTACACTAAAAGATTTTTCCTGCAAAATTTGGCCCCTAAAGTTAATAACCCTTCTCAGGCCCTGAAGCCTATGTTTAATTAGCTTCTACCCAGGACCGGCTCTGGTTCCTTACAAGGTAAAGAAGTTAAAAAAA